TTTTTTGTTGTTATATACCTGGATGACTGAGAAAACAAACTTTGTGTTTTTGAAACCATTAGTGAAAAGGCCAGACTTCAGGGGTATCTGAGGCAGGCTTGAAACACAAGAGTCAGGGTGGCTTCTGGGTAATACCAGATGGCTAGGCCTCAGACTGACGAAGCCTCTTGGATGAGGGGCGAAACGTTTCTTTTTAACAAAAAAAACGAAGTCCAGATGACATGATTCAACCTTTTTTGTTGTTATATACCTGGATGACTGAGAAAACAAACTTTGTATTAGTGAAAAGTGTTTATCTGTATGGTTTAACTACTGCCTTAATGATAATGTTGACTGTACAAAATCAGGCTTAATATTTAAGCTTTTTTTTTTATTCTTGTAAATGTTTATAAACATCACAATGCATAAAATAGTACAAGGTAAAAACCGGTGTTTTAGTTTAACAACAGATATTGAGAAAAAAAAAAGACTTCATTAGTCAGTTAAGAAACCTGTAGTTCTAGTACTTGTACACACAATGGTGAATCATGAAACAATGTGTGTGGGGGAGGGGTTACCAGTTACAAATGCAGCAACACACTATAAACCATCTCTGAAAAAGTTAATAAATATAAATGCTAAGATTTAAATCAAATGTTAACTGGTAACTTGTGGCAACATGTTTAATATAAAATGAACTGGTAAAAAGCTAAATGTACTACTCATGAGAAACACTATTAAACATTTTTATTATGTAGGTCATAGTGAGTGAGCGAACTGGTCTCATGATATTTTAATGACTTTTCCAGAGGGCGTACTGGGACACCGACAACGTTGTACAGTCCTTTCAGAAGGACTATATATCCTGAAGACAAGCGTTTTTAAAAATGTGTTATTTTGATACATTTCACAGCTTTGAGGTTTTGTAACCAGTCTTTATGTTTTTCTCACTTGTAATGCTTCTTTATTTGTGTTTTTACTTTAGTTGATTAAATGGATAGCCTGGAATTTCTGAAGTGAGATTTCATCTCTTTAAAATGACTTTGAGGTACTTTATTAAAAATAATAATAAACAATACAATATTTGGTTCGTCTGATCTGAGCTTTACATGTAAATTGCTGGCTGGATTTATACTATAAAACTTTCTGCATGGTGATATGCAAAGGGCTTATTTGGTCAATTTTTTGTTATTTTACTTTGAATGCAACTGATCCTGGGCACGCTGGTACAGAAGATATGCTGCTGAAGATAAGTACAGAAGATAACGATATAATTCGATATCGACATAAACAATATAAAAGCCTCAGAAAAACTACAAAACTATACAAATAAATTAATGCTCACCTTTTATTTGTATTTAGACTTCAAAAACATTGAAATCACTGTCAAATAAACATAAAATTCTCAACTTTGTCAATATTAATAGTTTTAACTTTAAACAACAACTTTAAAATTGACAGCATTGAAATTCGTTGTTAATGAAATAAAATGTTTGGATGTCGTTATTGATGAGAAGCCGACATGGAAATCTCATGTAAAATACTTAAAAATAAAAAGAACAGTCAGTTGCATTACTGTATAAAGTAAAATAGTTTTGAATGACAAAGCTTTGTATATATTGTACAATGTAATGATTGTTCCATATTGAATCTATTGAAATTAAATTTGGGGAAAAGCATGTAAAACGATTACAAACCCTATTTTTATTTTACAAAAAAGAGCTATAAGAATTATTAGAATTATGAAGCGCTATGGTCACCCAACAAATATATTATTTCATCAATTGAAATTATTAAAATGTTACGATTTGGTTGAATATAGTATTTTACAAGTCATGTATAAAGCTCATAAAAATATTAGCCCCAAATATTCAATTAAAATTTGTAAAAAATAAATATAAAAAAGGAGTCAATATAACTTAAGGGAATGTAAATGTTTGTAAAACCTCCATTTAGAACTAGTGTGAAGGAGCTGTGTTGTAATTCAGGGAACAGGATTATGGAATTGTCTTGATATCACCATAAACATTTCTAAAACAATTTATATGTTTAAAAAGATGATAGTTAAAGTTGTTAGGAAGGTATAGTACCAGGTGAAGGATACCTGAAGTTTTTTTGTTTTCAGTTTGGAGATTGTTCAAGTCAAAGTTGTTGTTTGTTTGTAGTTATTTTGTATTTTTTAAATTAGGGGCAGAAGAATTTTCTTCTTTCTGCAACCTTTTCATTCAGTGTTTTTCTTTCTTTCTGATGAATTTGTTTTGTTTTAAATTAATGAATAAATGATAAAAACAAAACAAAACCAACATGCAGCGCTGGGGGTGTTCCAGGGACACGTTGGCTCAAACTTTCACTGTGCTTCATCTTGTGACTCATCATCTTCTGTCAAGTGGAACAAGTTAGATGTTCCCACCGCTAGTTAGAACGACTCTCCGTCACATTTTGCAGCACACTGACTGAAACCTGCAGTTTATCGGATCTTAGAAAGCCGAACCACTTCCAAAGCAGCAAATTAGTCTTTCCTCTCTTATCAGTGATGTCATCTGCTTTCTCTTCGCTTGTGAAAGATTGTTCAGTCACATTCTGACGATCAGGGCACTCGTTTTGAAGATAAAACTTAACGTGCATTGGAGATTAGCCTAGCTTAGCCTGCTACGCCTTCTGGACTTGAGCTCTGCGTAACATTACGTCACCACGCACTTACGTAGTTGTGTTGCACCTTTTTCTGTCCGGGCTGAAACTGAAGAGGCCGCTTCAACCCGAACAGAAAACGCTGTAATCCTATCGAAATATCGAAAATGTGCTTAAAACTCATATCATCATTATTGAATAAAAGAATATCGCGAGATATATCGATATCGAATTATTGTCCAGCTCTACGTGAACATAACAGACATATGCACAAAATGGCTGACCAATACATATGACTGGAAGTAAATTAACTGGAAGTATTTAAACACTTTGGAGGGGGGGGGGGGGTGCAGCTAGATAATTGAAATGTTTCACTATTGTTTTATCATTGCATCCCTGTGAATTGAATTGTGAAGTGTTAAGTTTCCCACGTGATTAAAAAAGACCCCATGTAAAAAGAAAAAAAAAGTCTGTGTAATGCTACATTTTAAAACTAAAATTATTTTCCTGTCCAGTTGTCTTGTGAAACGTTACATACTTTTTTTATCGGTAGGGCCAATATAAATGTTTGGGGACCTATTGGTATTGTGATAATTGTCCCATTACTAGGGCTGAGTACCGAACAGAGGTTCTTAAATGCCACTGACCCAACTGCACCAGTCGGTGTATGGATTGAAACGTCACTCTTTTTTCGGTGTCAAGTTTCGGTATTGGCTGTAACGTGTCACGTGGTTTCAACACGCAGGCAGGTAAAACGCAGACATATAGCAAACAGACTATGTGTTTACACCCAGAGCTGTATAGAGCTGCCACACCTAATCTATGTAGAATGTATGTCTATGGTGTTGGTGACGCCCACAGAGGGGGGGGGGGGGTTTCGTGTGTGCAGCGCGTGTTGTCGAACGGCTTCGACAACACACGAGAAGAAAGTTGCTCCGTGTTTCTCTGCAAGAAGACAGACTGACATCAGCCTCCCCCCTCCTCCTCTCAGCGTTAGTCAGTCTCTGTGTGTTAAACAGAATCAACATTCCACGACCGGACTTGTCTTTATCAAAGAACTCCCGAGGACGGCTCTGTGTCTGTGTTTCAGCTGGTGAGTTTACGTTTGTTTGTTTATTCTTCTGATGAGTTTACGTTTGTTAACGTTACTGCAGCTTAACACGTACATTGCAGTGAATTAAACTAGAATCCATGTAACGCTAACTTTAAGATATTAGTGTGTAAATTTATTTTATCTACGTAGCTAGCTAAACTCAGAAGCTAACTAAAGATTGACAGCAACATAAATCTTAGCTTGTAAAAATGTGCTCATCCATCCAGTCAGCTGCTTAAACAGTTCACTAATGTTCACTGTTTATGTTAATCTTCTCCTCACAGGAGCCTCTGACCCAGATGTGAGGACAGAGACAAAAGAAAAGTGAGGTGGGGGCCACAGGACAATCACAAACTTTGTTGTTAAAAGTTTGCTGTCTTTTCTACAGTGGAGCTGCACGGTGGAGGCAAGTTAAGCTGTAAAGGATTTTGTTGACCAGTTAAGCTTTTATCTCTCAGCCTAGATAATGTTTTTTTGAGCAATAATAACACAACCATGTTATTGTTGATGCTTTGTGTTCTGATGTTAATTAGGGAGATGATCAGAGCCATAAACCCCAGAGAACCACAGAGAAGATTCAGGAAGAGACACAGAGGTACAGATGTCTGCATCAACCCTAACCTCAGTGAATCCAGTGACCTGCTGGTGGGATGTGAGGGACAATATGTCAGTGCTATCAAACTGACAACCAGGTATCTGTGTGTGCAACAATCATCATCTACAGCCTCAGAGTGAACACTTCCTACTGCTGGAGACACCATCAGCCAGGAGCGGGCTTGTTAGTGTCCAGAGAAAGAAGACATGTTGATTTTTCTGAAGAAAAACTGTTCAGTGAAAAGGTCCTCAGTGTGTAGCAGTGAGCATTAGACACTGACATGTCACTTGTTGTTTGCAACTGTTCTTTTGAATTGGAAATTATTTGTTTATTTTAATGTAAGAAAACTGCTTGGAATAGAAAAATACCAAAGTTAAAAAATAAAATTCACAATATGTACTGTAATGTGTAACGCAATTTTATTCTTGTTAGAATTAATATTAATGACAAAATTGGTACCGAAAAAAGAACCGTCCAGGAACCGACACCAAAGTGAAGGTACCGCCAATGGTACCGATTTTTTTTTAAGAAAGGTACCCAGCCCTACCCATTACAGTGTTTCCCCTACCATTATACCATTAGACAAGCAGGGCGCCCCGCCCTGTCAAAAGAAACGAGTGCCATGCCTACCAAACCCCACTCCCTGCGACAACTGCCAGCACTGACATAGCACTAAGCTAGTGATGTGCAATACAGATGCACTAGCTAAAAAGCTCGGTTTCCCTCGAGCTTGCAACCCCCCCCCCCCACCGGAAAACTATCAGTACAAACAGCGCGCAACACAGACGTGTCTCAATCACCACTGTCTCTACCCCCACACCAGTCGACAAAGATCACAGGATAGATAAGCGCGCTGCCAAGGCAAGTAATGTAGGGGAAACACTGCATTATGCGCCGATTTAAGCACTTCTAAATTTCACCCTTAAAATGCTGGAACCAGTCATAACTGTATAATGTATCCAGCAGAGGGTGCATGAAGACTACTTTCAAGTCATTGCTGTTCACTTAAGTTTCACTTTCACGTTCAGCACAGACAGCACAGAGTCAGCACAGAGAGCAATACCCTGTAGCACATTTTGCTGAACAGAGAATGGCAAGTTTATTTTAACTGATCTGTAAAATAAAAAATTATCTTCAATCCTCCAATCGACTTGTCATTAGCTACATACCTCTCAAATTAGCAAGCAAAAGTTAGATAATCTTGCATAGGCCATTGCCTTGTAAAACTTTATCCAGATCAATAAATCTAACGTAGAGGTAAAACATGTAAGTGTTGGTAACGTTATATTTGTCGTCCTCAATGAAATGCATTGTTTGAAATCTTAATTTATCTGTATTTTTAAAAAATAAATGATAAAAAACAAAATGCTGCTGCAGTCAGTACTAATTACAGCATCACCCTACGTGACTCTTTAAACAATGAACAGGAAGGAGCATTTCTTTGTTTAATTTATATTTTTGTAGCACACTTGATAACTTTATGGCAAATAGTAGATGATAGAAAAAGTGAACGCACATTAGGAACTGTTTTTATGACCAGTGCAGCACTTGTAAACCTAGTGTGGACATACAGCGTGGATCTGATTTGCTTAGCTTCACGGTAGCTAACAGTTGTGCTAAATAAACAAGTTCCACTCCACTCGCTGTTTACTTGCATTGGCCTTCCCCTCCCAATATCTGTAGCCAATATATGATAGCTAAAATGTCCATATTGGTCAGGCTCTAATACTTTTTACCACGTTTTGAGAACTGTTGCACTTTCTGATTCATTTGTCATGTTTTGTGAGAGGGTGCATTTTGTGAAAGGTGCCTTCTTAAATGTTAATCACTGTCTGCTACACATGAGGAGTACAATACAAAATCAAAAATCATTACTGCTTATACGCAACAACAAATACATTGTATCTCACTCTGATCTGATGGTTTAGGTCGTAGAGATGCTTGTGTCTGCTCCTCTGCACTTTGGTCTGCAGGGAACGGCCAGCTCTGGAGTGAATGGCATTCGCATCGGTGCGGAGGTCACTGCGAAATATCTGGGGCTTGTTGAGAATACGCTTAATGGGTAAACTGAAAAGAGAATGAACAGAGAAAGTTGTCACATAAGTGCGTCATCTTCATTCTCTAAAAACCACAAATGGATTCTGAACAAGTAAACATTCCAAGAAGGACCAAAATGAATTTTACTGCGGTGACGTTTTCTAAAGATGCCTAACGTTTTTAAAGATGGCATGAGATGAGTTTAACCTGCACATATTATAAAAGTGTACCTACAATGAGTAAAACACTTGGTCTGGAAAGCATATTCACAGTATCTGCTCCATCAAGATTTCAGTTTTACAAAAAAACAAGACTATTTAACTTTGAAGTGCATCCAATAATATTTATTTTATATTATAAAAACAGGTGCTATGAGTAATGTTTTCATCAGAATATGGAGAAGTTACAGAATGGATTCTCACACCTTGCCTTGTGATACAAGGCATTATTTTGTGATATTTGTCATGACATGATGCCAAAAGACAGTTGCTTGAACAGAAATTCTGGTGCTTGACCATGTTTTCCATTTAACTTTTCATTTAAAAAAGTGCAACAAAAAAAATCTGTATAAAGAAATGTGACAATGAGTAAAAAACAATAAAAATAACAAGAGAAATTGCATTTCCTGCAAAAATGCATGTGTGAATGCCTTTTGCTCAATAATTATCTTAAAACAGCTGAATAGTAGCTAAAGAAGCATAAAACAAGCTTAAATTAGCAGAAGGAAGCAGAAAGAGCATCAAGTTTGGCCAATGAGGCTGAAAGAAGAAAAAAATGAGCACTAAAAGTTGAAAAAAGCTGAAATTGGACAAAAACAGCTAAATAGTAGCTAAACCAAGCAGAATGAAGCTAAAGTTACTTGAACGAAGTAGGTAGAGCATGATTTTGCTGAATTAAGCTGAAAAAAGTTGGATTTAAAAAAAAAAGTGGAATTAGCTGAAAAACCTGAAATTAGCATAAAACAGCTAAATAGTAGCTGAAATAGCAGAAATATCTGAATCTTCCAAAAAATAGCTGAAAGGAGCATAACAAGCTGAAATTAGCAGAAATAAGTTAGAAAAAGTACAAAAATGTTGAAGTAAGCTGAATAAAGCTGAAAAGAGCACAAAACAGCTGAAATTATCTGAACTAGCTGATTTTTTTTAATTTTTCATTCAAAGTCTATTAGGGATCGTTATAATCTACCAATATACCAAGTTTCATCTGAATAGCTATAAAAATGGCAGAGTTATCCTAGTTTCTCTATAAAACAGCTGAATAGTAGTTAAAAAGAAATGCAGAAAGAAGCTTAAATTTCCAAAAGGAAGTGGAGGAAGCTTAAATGTGCCCATAAGGCTGAAACAGACAGAAATTAGCAAAATAAAGTTGAAATTATCTGCGAAAAGCTGGAATTTGCTAAAAACAGCTAAATAGTAGCTAAAACAAGCAGAAAGAAGCTTCAATTACTAGTAGGATGTTGGAGGAACATGTTTTTGCTGCATTAGGCTGCCAAAAGTTTAAATGACTGCAAAAAAAAGTGGAATTAGCTGATAAAGATGAAATTGGCATGAAAACAGCTAAATGCTAGCTGAAATAGCAGAAATAGCTGAAACATCCAGAAATAAGCATAAATAAGTTGGAAGAAGCACAAAAATGTTGATTTTAGCAGAATGAAGATGAAAGGACCACAAAACAGCTGAAAAAACAGCTGAAATTAGCTGAACTAGCTGAATTTTGTTTAAAATATTGTGCAAGGAAGCTGAAAGAATTGTAACCAGGTCTAAATGTGAAAGTAGTAGTACCAGGTTATAAACGAATCAAAAGTTATGAAGGATGTAAAAGGAGCTCCATTCATTTTCAATGAGAACAAATATGCCAGAAAAGGCTAAATATCTCAAAAAGCTAAAGTTGCACAAATACCAAAAGTCATAGCAGACATGTGCTGAAACAGCTGAATGTTTTGTTGTATGATTTGTTGAAATAGCACAACTTTGGGAGTATTTAGATGCCGAAAAACGTAAGGAAGAAAAAGTGAATCACTATGTATTGTATAGGCATTCACACAATTATGAATAGTTACGACAGGAATTCAAGCAGCCGATTTTTGAGGTCACAGAATCTGTGGGTAACAAAATGTGTTACAACACCGGGCCCCGCGCGCTGCAAGTCAACCATGTGTAAACAATGAAACTTAGCTAGCTAATCAAGCTAGCAGCGTCCGGTGCGATGTCCTACAACTGAAACGGGTTCAAGCTGCTAGCTTCCTAAAGTAATGAACTAAACGAGCCTTTATGTCCATTGTTTGAATATTACAGGTAAAAAATAAACAAAAACAAGCCTGTTTACTTTCTAATGAGCGTTTTAACTACGTCGCACGTCTGCATGCGTGCAATTCGTCGTGTTGTTTCGACAACTCCGTTGCCACAGGTTTGAAAGTCTCACCTTTTCCGCTCCATGATGTCGGTAGTATTCTTTTGCTAGCTTGCAATTCTTATGGCTGAAATATATATTTTTAAAAGAGCCAGCTATCAAGTTGTTACAATCCTGAATTTAATTACGGTCTGTTAGGCTGTCGATGCTTGCTGTCAAGTCGTTAACAGTGGATCACTCCGCCAGACTGATAACATATTAATCACTGCAATCCATGCGCAAAAACACCGTAAACTAGTTCTGGCGCTTCAGGTTAAGTTTGAACACTGCACTGTCAGAGGAGAGGAGCGAAAGGGACTAAAGTTTTCATAGTTGTCTGTTTCCATTTACAACACATGTACTGACTTTTTAACATACTTTATTTGCAGTTTGTTGTATAGACTCTAAATATTAACAAGAGTCTGGCTGTAATACTATTGTTGCAGCAAGATTAAAACAAGGCTTTAATTTTTAGGACATTTCTTTACACCTTTAAAACAATAATATGTAATTTTGTTATGATCGTTATTATGTTTGCTACAATTTACATAAACTGTTCGGAAGACTAACTGTAGTCTCTATATAGTTCCTTTCTGACCTCAGACTTGAAACTGAAGTTTTGGGGAGCCATTTAACAAAATCTACTCAGAGTACACGATGCAATCTGAAGTTGTAACTCTGAAATTTAAAAATGAAACTCAGGGTAGCAACAATAATCTTAAAACAAATAGCAATGCTCAATTTTGTTATAAAGGCACACTGAAATTATAATCTACATGAATCACCACAGGGCTATGATAAATTGCAGTTTACGGTAATCATATTTGAGATGGTACACGAGTTAGACATGAAATAATTACACGTAAACCAAGGACATGTATAGCATACTTTACTTCTTCTCTCCATAGTATAATCAGGAATCAAATGACCCACAAAACAAAAATTATGGGAAAAAAGTCCTCAAACTAACCAAGAAAAGAAGTCAAAATCACATTTGTCCTTTATTTTCTTCTATTATGTTGTTACTGGTAGAAGAAAATGACCAGAATGCATTTCAGCAGATGTTGATGATGACCAGAGATCAGTGTTTCTTGGAGCTGCGGTCTGGAGATGATGATCTTCAGAGGTCTTCTATGAAGCGGGACCACAATTTGAGGAACAAGCTTCCACAGTTCATGTTCATCATGTGGGTCTTTGTATTAAAACACAAGGAAAACGAAAATCACAGCACAAACCTGAGAGGAAAAAAGAAGATGACAAAGCTGTTGAACTGGAACTGAAAGACTAAAACTAAATCAAAACATCAGCATTGTTTACAGTCCTAAAGAAATGTGTTACATAATGGATCGTCCTGTGGTCAGTCCTTTCAAACGGTCTCATTAAAAGTTATAATACACAGTTTAAAACTGAATACTCACCGTCTTTGCTAAAGTGTATGAACACCAAGATACCAGGCGCAGCAATTTATCAAATATGTGCATGTTTGTGTAATGCATTCCTATTGAAAGTGCCTTTTTGTCATTGTCAGGGGAATTTGGATTATGGATGTTTATTATTGCTAATGTTAAATTAACATTGAACCATGTGTGTAGGTTCAGATAATTATTTTTCTCTCAGAGAGGAGCTGGTTTGATACAGCTGGGAGGCTGAGGTCATCAGTGACTGTCTGTGAGGGCCGATAAGCATTACAAAAATAATCCTCGCACACTGTCCGGTACAGATCTTCAATGAAACATCTGTATAAGCCTGTGTGAACATCTGCCCTTGCAAGTAAACTGGTAAATCTTCTGTCTTAGTGTGTGGCTCCTTTTTCTATAAGTAGATAATGTCAGGATACTTTTATCGAACAGTTATTCCTTTTACTGACCTGACCACCACTACTCATCGTTTTTAAATTTGCCGTTGATGTAGGGAACGAATCTCAAAACCATTTTCCAGTCGGTGAAGTAGACCAAAGCCACTGTACCAGCTGCACCCCAAGTGGCCATGGTAGGAACCCTGTTAGGAAGAGCAAATGTTTAAAACATTGATTTCCTCTTGCATTAAGGCGAAAATAACTTTAAGAGAAATATCCAAACAAAACACTTTTTGTGAAGGGTGCTGTGGTGTATACACATAAATCTACTGATAAATATAGAAAATAGATTAAACAAAAAAAGTTGTCGGTTTAAAAAAAAAATCTGTAAAATAATCAAGTAACAAACTTTCATGTTTGCTGTTAAAGTGGACAAAAAGGTAATTTTGAGAAACCATTGGGGAGGCTCAAAATGATCAATCTACGCACTTCTCAGATATTTTGACCAAAGCATTTCACTAAAAACTCTCCAGAGTTATTAAAAAAAGTGCAAGTCTTTATTAAAAACTTTAGATTAAGAAGAAAAATAAACCATTACTGAATACAGTACATTAATCTTGTTGTATTTGTTGTAAAAGAACCAGAATTACTGTTTCACAGATACACGTGTTAAAGAGATTTATTTTATAATTTTAAATAAGATCGACATTTTATAGAGGGTTTTTAGATAAGGTTTTATTTCTAGCATGTTATTGAAAAGATTTACCCTTAATGAAATAAGCTAGCCACATAGCTAACTTTTCTAACTCAAAATAACAGAACGTGGAAAAAAAAGTACCAGAAAAGTAGCTAAAAGGGAAGATCTGATCATTTTAGCTGTTTTAAAGCATGAATTTAGCTCAGAAGCTAAAGTCACTGATGTGACCTCGGCTAGGCTAGGCTAACAGCTAATGTTTAACGTCAAAGTTCGCCTCACCAAATCTTTTTTCTTTGTCTTTTACGAGTTAAATTCATCTTACCATGTCTTGGCGATGGCCATATTCTTAGGTCCAATAAGTTTGCCAATCATTTTGGCTGACAGATGTCCTTCTCTACACAAAATTGCGTTGGATTAAAAACTAAGAACTTCCGAGTCTCACTAAAAGTACTTCCGGTTAAGTACAAAACAAAATTTTCTATTTCACACGTGGCATCGGGAATATATAAATAAATTGCACCTATACCGCTTTCTTTTTTTTAATTACAATTTTAATGTAACTGGCCTTTGAGCCAACATGACAGTTTAGTGTAATTTAATCTGAAAAGTATTTTAACTCGGGAATTACAGGTATTTTTAATTTTGTCCACTAGATGGTGCCAAAGACATACAATTAACTCTTGAATCAAATTTATCCTTTTTTACTTTTATTAAAACGCAGTCTCACAAAACAAGTTACACTTCTATTTTTAAAGTATATTACTTTGAACTTGTGAATATCTTGTGCGTGATGTAATTCAAGATAACATTTTGACCATATCTGATTTTCACTTGGCTCTGGATTGGAAATGTATTAGAATGCCAAAAATATAGTTACAATATGAGGCCAGAGTGTTTTTTCTTTTTTTTTTTCTATAAAGCAATAATTTTATTTTACTTCTTCCTTTACTTTTCCACTCAACCTAAATGCCACTGTTATTTATTGTATTTTCACTGTTAAAAATAAAGCAAATACTATACTGTGTATAAATATATACATCACAATACTTGCTTATTCTCATGTCAGACACTTATAATTTCACAATGTGATCCTAAAACAGGACTGAGAAGGTTTAAATGTAAATAAATGCTTCCAGATTTATCCAGTGATTAAAAAAAAAAATCAGTTTCTTCCATAATTTAAAAGGTAAAGAGAACAAGAACCAGTTTGTTATTTAAAAACGGTACATTTATTGCTACATTACTGTTATTTACACAACAGTTCTCAATGTCTACTTTATATATAAAAATAAGAAACTGGAGGCACTTTGAGGACGTAGCCTACATAGTTGTCCCCAAACACGAGAAGACAGGTCATGTTTGATGGAGAACACAAAAGGTTAGTTAACAAAAGGTGAGTTTTGAGACAAAGCTACTGCAGAAACATAATTCATGAACAAATGTTCAGTTTTTACAAAGTGATTTTCCAAATCACAGAGTCTGTTTTTGTTTTTCTAGAAAAAAAAAAAGGTTTGAAGAACTGAAATTCATTTAGGGGCTTGTCTGTGGGGCAGGTATTTGTGATTAAATGAAAACCTGTTCCACATCAGTAACCAGTTTACAATCATAATAACAGAGACATTTCTTACTGGTGTGTGTATTTATCGATACACATGCCAGTTTGAGGCAAAAATAAAACAAAGAGACAACAAAAAAAGACGAATATACAATTTTCAGCCTCACATTTGTTGATAATGTTCAAATTATGACTAATGACAAGCATAGAAGAGGTCACTGAGTGTAATTCTTCATGTCACAAAAAAGAAAAATGTATTGCAAGAAGACACAACCTGCAAAACCTTGGATGCAACATCATCCACAATGTAAGCAAACAAATTCAGGCACTGGTGAGGAACCATTATCAAAACTCCCAAAGTCAGAAAAATGACTAAATCTTTTAAATCAGTTTTATGTTTTACCTCATAATGAAACAAATTTCTGTAGCAGACCTCCCCTTGTGCTCCTTCCTCAAACTAATAAACGAGCTCGTCAGGGAGCTGGGAGAGGGCAGGGGCGTTGTGACAATACAAATTAGTTCTTATTTGAAAAATGCCACAAACACAAGAACAGTCCAATTTACAGCTGGTTTGTAATCAAACAATAGACCAATATCACAACATGTGATGTCGCATCCTTTTAGTTGTCATTTCTAACATTTCTAAAACTGGCACCAAAAAGAAAGTACAAAAAACAAACACGCCACTTTGTTCCAGGAATCTAAACTGAGTCATTTTACATTAAAACAATGTAAACAAAGAAAATAAAGCATTCCAGACAATACAAACAAAACTATTATGACTATGTTACAAAGTAAAAATTAAAAATAAACATAAATGTATGCATCCTACAAAAGGAAGATCCTTACAACAGGCTTCACAATTGTTCATTAAGGTGTGGAGCAACAAAAAAAAAAACACCAAGCGCCCAACACAGAGCAACCAAAACAAGTCAGTCGACAGAGGAAAGTCTCTCACGCGTAGCAGTAACGCTCATGATCCCTTTGAAAACTTTGCTCGTGTACGAGCAGAAAGTTTGGTATCACAACACAAACAGCTCGGAGACTTCCTGTGATTTCACCATGATGTAACAGCAAGTGATGAAATGATGGGTGCAGGTTTGATTCACTCTGCCCCGACCGCGAGGCTGGGAGCGACTGGCTTCATGAGGGGAGGAGTGGTGGGTGTTTTGTGTTTCTCCTGGCAGTCTTTCCATTCCACTTGCATGGCAGTGACAATAACAGATGTACAGGACTTCAAAAGATAAGACTCTGGGATCCAAGGTTCTGAGACAAGCAATAAAAAGAAAATCACCCCCACCCCAGGGAAGTGGCACAGTTTTAGCCGCATCAATAAAATTGAAGAAAAACTACCTGAAATACCAGCGTATGAAAAGGAGGAAGCAGGTACTGTCAGAGCGGTGGCAGAGTCTCCAAACTTCTGTAATTGAGTCAGCACGTAAAAACAATAACGGCCAACCCAAGTCCGAAGCCCAGCAAGGCGTGAATAAATGTGCTGTTCAACGGCAAATTATAAATCATAACTCTTTGCTTGTGAAGAATGTAAGACCTCACTGTTTTCTGCTGGGAATGCCAATACCATTCAGCAATTTAAATTCACACAGATGAGCATTTGATCCAAAAGTGTCATTTGATCCAAACGAGGTTTGCTCCCGAAGTGTAAAGCAGGTCCGTTTCCCTCTGACTCCAAAGTCCTTCAGTTCAAAGCATCGTCATGTAAAGACCAAGAAATGTTCATTTTATTTGTATCTCGTGTGCCTCTTCTGTGATACATATATTCTGCAACAGGAATGTGGCCACGTGATGAGGTGTGTGTGTTTTCCAAAAGCTGATGAACACACACTGACATGACAAGGACAGATGCTCTAAGGGCTGTCCGATCCAAAGGAGCAGGAATAGAAAAAGACAAAGATTATCAATGATATTAAAATGCAATTAATAACATAGTCATGCATTAAAAGCTTCTGTAGACAGACCTGAGTTACATATGGCTCACAGGGTTGTGTCCATCCCCTCCTAGAGCAGGGTGACCCCCACCCAGCTGCATTTGGTGGTCCATACCCGAAACCTTCTCCTCCTCTCTTCTCTTGAGGCAGGCGGCTTTGGGATTCAAATTACGCTCTTAAAAGCAACAACAAAAAATTCTTTAGCAAAAACTTTCGATTGAAGGCTTACAAAAACAAATCACGGTTTTTCAACATACAAATGAAGAGAAAGCGAGAAAATAGAAAGTTTGTTGAGAAATGCAAGTGTTTGGCAGAAAGCAGTGATATACTTCCTCAGACTTTCTCCTCTTCCTCTCCTTTCTTTGTATTTAACATGAACACTCCACAGTCAGTAGGAACAGAGCAACAGAAAAGATTTCCCAGGAGGTGAGTCACTGTCAGCCTTATGTCCAGCTTTGATAAAAGAGCTCTTCCTGTGCTGGCTGACCTACCTCGCACCTGCTTCTCCAGGCTCAGTATGACCTGTACAGCCTGCTGCAGGATGATCAGCTTGGTCTGGGCCTTGTCGCTCTGCAGGTGGACCTGACACATTCTGCCCAGCTCCCTGAAGGCTTCGTTTATGTCACGAACACGCACTCTCTCCCTAGCGTTGTTAGCTAGGCGGCGGTCACGCTCCCTCTGCTCCTTCTCCTCCGCAGTCAGGTTCTCGTCGGTCACCGAGACAAGGCTGCAGTCGGGAGGAGAAGTGGGATTATCAAACCCAAATCAGGATTCTCACTAGGCTGGGTGTTGCAGAACTGCACTTGAAGCTTTTAGTAAATTGGCATTTCTTGTTTTGTCCCTGGAAGACATTTCCTCTTTCGTGCTGCTACTTTTAAAGACTGAGACACCATCAGTGAACTTGCTCAAGAACTCATTGGAGCAGGAAAATGAACACACGTGTATAAATATAGAACTAATCTCAGATGTGAAACAGGTGACATGAGAAAATATTGTACAAGTCTGATTGTAGTCTGTGGCGGAAGCTCACCGCTGCACTTTCAGATTAGACCAAACCACAATGTCAGGATGGATTTAAGTTTACCCGAGAGACTAATGCATCTTTTGGTCATCAGGGTCCAGGATGGAAGTTAAGGGGATTTGGTGACTGTCGAGCAAAATGAGAAAATGTGAGAAAGAGAGGAAGCTACACCTTTTGCCAAATGCAGAACACAGAAAGAGCCTTAGAGGAAAGCTAACAGGAGAGACTGACATCAGCATCCCGTTAAATACATCAGCAGTTGATGTATTTATTAGAAAGCTGCATTACTTGCAAATATAATTGTTGTCAAATAAAATCACAAGGAAGCAACAGAGAAAAAGCAAACAGGAGTTGAACAAAAAGTAAATAAGTTTCAGCAGTGAGGAAGACAGACGTGTCAGGATATTAACAGTGGAAACAACAAGCAGTGAATGATGCAGAACATTCAAACACACAGCTGTCCTGTGTGTGTTATCAGACAATGAAAACATTTTGACATGACCTGGATAAAGGATGTGTTCTAAAACTATCACACAGCTAAAGTTCTCAATACTTTCTCATTATTTTTGGTTAATTTTTAGAAGAAGCTACTTCTTCTTTCAGCTTTTCCCTCTTCAGGGGTCACTACAGCGAGTCATCTTCCTCCATCTCACTCTGTCCTCACTCCAACTACCTCCATGTCCTCTCTAACTGCATCCATACATCTCCTCTGTATTTTTCCTGGCAGCTGCATTTCTAACATCCTTCTACCAATATACCCACTGTCCCTCCTCTGGACATGTCCAAACCATCTCAGTCGGGTCTCTCTAACTTTATCTCCCAGTTGTTCAACCTGTGCTGTACCTCTGATGATCTCATTCCTAATATTATCCATCCTTGTCACTCCTAAGGAGAACCTCAACATCTTCATTTCTGCCACTTCCAGTTCTTTCTCCTGTCTTTTTGTCAATGCCACTGTCTCCAGACAATACAACAGAGCTGGTCTCACCACTGTCTTGTAATTTTTTCTTTGACCTTTGCTGACACCCTTTTGTCATAAACCACTTCTGAAACTTTCTCCACCCACTCCATCCTGCCTGGACTCTCTTCTTCACCTCTTTACCACATTCCCCATTTTCCTGGACAATGGACCCCAAGTACTTGAAGTCCTGCACCTTTGTGACCTCTGCTCCTTGTAGCCTCACTGTTCCACCAGCCTCCTTCTCATTCACACACATGTACTCTGTCTTACTACGGCTGACTTTCATTCCTCTTCTTTCAAGTGCATACTTCCACCTCTCCAAGTTCTCTTCCACCTGTTCGTTCCCACCACAGATCACAGTGTCATCTGCAAACATCATAGTCCATGGGTATTACTGCCTGACCTCATCTGTTAGTCTGTCCATCACTACAGCAAACAAGAAGGGGCTCAGAACCGATCTTTGATGTTCTCCCACCTCCACCTTGAAGCTATCTGTCACTCCTACAGCACATCTCACCACTGTCTTGCTGTCCTCATGCATGTCCTGTACCAGTTTAACATACTTTTCTGCCGCTCCAGATTTCTGCATGCAACACCACACCTCCTCCCTCTGCGCCCTGTCATGTGCTTTTTCTTATTCCACAAAGACACAATGAAGTTCTTTCTGACCCTCTTTGTACTTCTCCATCAGCATCCTCAAAGCAAAGATAGTGTCTGTGGTGCTCTTTCTTGGCAAGAAACCATACTGCTGCTCACAAATAGTCACCTCTCGTGTAAGTCTTGCTTCCACAACTCTCTCCCAGATCCTCATCGTGTGGCTCATCAACTTAATTCCCCTGTTGTTGCTACAACTCTGTACATCACCTTTGTTCTTAAAAATGGGCACCAGCACACTTCTTCTCCATTCCTGAGGCATTTTATCACCCTCAAATATGCCATTGAATATTTGAGACAAAAACCTCCCTGCCATCTCGCCAAGACATTTCCAAACTTCCACTGGTATGTCATCAGGTCCTACTGCCTTCCCCTTCTTGATTCTGTTCAGAATTTGAAACAATCTGTACAATGTTCAGAAATAAAATGAACAAAGATGATCCATCATGTCATTCAGAAGGATTAAATGTTGGAATCGCCAATCATTGGTTGAAGCTGAACAGTGAAGCTGTGTGGAAGTTTTACTGTGAAAAAAGAAGCCCATCCCCTCCACTTCCTGTTTCCCTGGACACCCACTGACCTCGAACTTGTTGCTCCAGGTTGAGTATAACATTAACAGCCTGTTGCAGTATGATCAATTTGGTTTGTGGTTTTTCATTGCTCAGATGGAGCTGACACATGTGGCCCAGTTCCTTAAAAGCCCCGTTGATGTCCCGCACACGGAGCCGCTCGCGGGTGTTGTTCGCCAACCTCCGCGCTTTCTCCCGCTCAGCCTTGACCTCCACTGGTAGATCTTCGTCATCATCATCATCATCCACATCATCTAGACTACTGAAGAGTGCGTGGCAGATGAGGAAGGAAGGAAACAACAGTGTGGGTACAGTTCAATTGTGTAAACGCCCCAGTTAATTAACATCAACATTCCAGTTTCATTGACTGGTCTTTTAGGGTGGGGGCCAGGTACAAACAGCACAACTTTAGTTCCAGGAGAAAATCTCCTGTAAACAGTTTCTACGTTAGCTCCAGAAATAACAGGGGCTAACACAAGAACTGAATAAGCTGCTAAAAATTTCCAGCTTTTGCTAGGATGATTTTAACTCTGAAGACTGTGTGGATTAAAACAATTAGGAGTCATAATTTAATAACGCCTTCTAAAATTTAGATTAAACTGTATTTTCATCCTGCTGCAATTATAATATTTCAAATGGCTTTAATTAACATTAAACTTCTTGTTAGAGGAAATGCCAGCCACTATGAAGCAAGTTTTACTCCATTTAATGAGGAGATAAATACTTGAGCTACCAAATCTATTCTTAATCTATTCCTCTCTATCTATTCTTAACAAATCAGTTTTCAACTTTCACTGTTTGAGTTTGAGCAGAAATATCTATGTTCATAAAGTCCACCACATACAAAAAAAATCAGAGGGTTAAAAACTGACTCTATTGGGATCCAGCTGGTTTACAGAAATAAATGACTTTTGATGAATAAATGAGTGTATTTATTAATTTTAGACACCTTGTTCGAAAGCGGGTCTTCATATCTTTTTTCTCATCCTCTGACTTGTCTGTAATAGAGCAGTTCTCATCATCCTCCCTCTCCTCTTGTTTGATCAAAGCACCACTGGAACGAGTCAGGTTGCCAGGCAGAACTACACACAAAGTTTAGACAAAAAGATGAGTTTTGAAAAACAAAAATAACATACACACACATATTTTCATAGATAAACAATTAAAGAGTGGCTAAAAAATGATAATATAAACAAAAAAGTCCCACCTGCTGTAAGCTGAGAGCTTGAATGAACTGATGCAGAGTTGTGATGCAAATGTCCTCCACTAGAGGGTAGACCAGCAGAGTCCTCATGATGGCTGAAAATCTGAAAAGACAAGTCATTTATCTTTGTAACGTGACACCGACATCACACTCTCGGTTTCATTTTTACTCGCCTGCGTTAAATATCCATTATTAGTGTATAGCTTATTTTTTAATCATTATTTGAAATCTCACCAGCTCTGGCAGGCGACTGACCAATCCGAGTGCTGCACTGCTGAAGCCTGGCGTTAACCCTCCCTGTCCGCAGGCGTGTCGCTGAAGAACACAGATGGCTTCATCAAAGTGGTCTCCTATTTTACTCTATGAAACATGAAGAACAATGGAAGAGATGAGGTGATGTACAAATCACTGCTTTACGCTGATGTTTGACCTTAAAGGAAAAAGCAATTCACAGACACTCACCGTAGACTGAGCTCCACAGTCAAAGTTCGGTGAAGGTGTGGCCTGGCCAGAAGACCGAGTCCACTGGGATGCAGAGCCTTTAAAAAAATACTATATTTTATTTACACTGACACTACAAATGTTTCATGCAAGTCACTGAGTTTCACTCCTTAATAATCTTTATGTTACAAGCATTTTACTAATGTGAAAATGTACTTTTGGATTGCTCCTTCCTGATGAATATTGCTCTCATTATGCTCTGTTGTTATCTGTAATTAATGTTAATAGAGACTTGATCTATGACCATGTGCAGAAAATTATCTGGCAACACAATTAAAAAAGTTTAGTATTCTGCGCTATCTGCACATTTAGCTTGCTGATGTACAAACGCTTACGTTTTCAACTTAATCAGTCAAGTGAAAACCATCTATCCATCCATTATCTTTACCCGCTTCTTCCATTTTAGGTCACGGGGGTCGCCGGTGCCCATGTCCAGCAATCACTGTGCGAGGGGCGGGGTACACCCTGGACGGGTCGCAAGTCCATCACAGGACTACATAGAGACAAACGAGACAAACAACCATTCACTCTCTCACTCACACCCAGGGACAATTTAGAGTTACCAATCAGCCTAACATGCATGTTTTTGGTCTGTGGGAGGAAACCGGAGCACCCGGAGAAAACCCACGCATGCACGGAGAGAACATGCAAACTCCCAACTGAAAACCTATTTTAGAAAAACAACTTTGACAGACAAATTTTGACACAAAAAGAAGAAAATTACCAACAAACAGCTCAGCAAAAAAGGTGCTAATGAACATGAACAACAGCAGGTTGAACAATAAAGAGACAATAACAGCTGGTGAGATTTTGGTTTTAAAAGATGTGTCAGTTTTGTGTAAAAATCTTAAACTTTAGTCTCTAACAAGAGCGAATGTAGCAATAACAAACACATTTTTCACAGAGTGTGAGCTCTCCAGGCTCTTCTATAGAAATACAACTAAACAAGAAAGCTGAGTGCAGCAGGAGTGGATTAAAAGACAATGCAGTAGACAAGAATAACTCCCTTCAAAAGTCCAACAATGTGGTAACCATCAGCTCAGGGCTGACAGACCCAAGGAGGACCCAAGTATACAAGATGTCTTTTACAGAAGCCAAAAAAAATGTTCTTCTGACATGAAAAAAGCCAAAAACACAACAGGCAGCAAGTGATGAATGACATCAATGAAGCATGGCATACGGTTCATGAACTCTACCTTCATAGTTAAAGCTGCAGATTTGATGCAACTATTCCCACATTTAGCAATGTGCAGAATGAAAGCAATCCCAAACAAGAACGACAATTTGTTTCTTTAGTGAGCTGAAAAACACGAGTTCCTGATACAAACACAGCTCTAACCTTGTCAACACTGAGTTGTGTTTACAGGATGAGACAGTCTAAACCCGCAGATAAGTTTATCTGTGGATTCAATAGGATGCTAACAACCTGACGGATAAAGATGTTGAAAGAGTCACTTATTTTAGAATAAAAGTGGTGCTTTTTTTCCCTTTAAATAATATAACACAAACAATTCAGAACATAATTTCTAACTCACATTTCACAAAGATCTTAAATGTGTTCATTCGTACTCATTTGCTCACACAGACTCATGTTCGTGCTGATGTTAGGCATATTGTTTTGTACTACTAGTGCTTAGTGTATTTTTAGTTAACGTTGTTCTTAGTTCATATCTTAGATCTTATTAGTTTTTCTTTTACATTTTATACTTTTGTTGGATGCAACTGGGACCTGTGTACATAATTTCATTCCATCACATGTGGTGCGAATGACGAATAAAGAAATTCCGACTCCGAAAAATGTTTTCACGGTGCTGTAGATGAATAGAAAATACCACATATATACACTTAATAAATATATATATTTTTAAATTACATAGAGATTTGGAAAAACAAATATTGTTTCTAATCTTTTGACAACAAAAATATTTGTCGTATAAACTGTGTGATCATTTTCATGCTTGAACACAAATGGGGAAGTGACCCCACCTTCTTTTTATTTTTACTATTTTCCCTTCCTCTCTCATAAGTTAAATTAGGTTTTTGTGTGCGACTGATTAAGTTGTAGTCATTTTTCTGGACACAAAACTTGCATCAAATTTAAAAATTGTCCAAAAAAAAAAAAAATCCAGTTTGTGCCATTTTGAAACAAGTGTCGAATAAAACGTTAAAAAAATTGTTTTAACAACCAATTAAAAATATTCAACAACAAACTTTCTGCAACTGTCTCTTTGTTCAATGTGTGTGTTTGCAAAACAAGTCTGATTTGACTTACTGAAACAAAAAAAATGTTTATGAAGGAAACATTCTTGACTGTTGTATAATATATAAACTAAAATGTTCCTTATGTACTTCTAACCTAAATTAGTATTAGAGAATAGAATTAACTGAGATTTCAAGACGGTGGAAAAATGCACAACAGTTTTCTGTTATCGCTGCTTTGACTGGGAAATACTTCATTTATTCACTTCACTAAAATAAAATAAGTTATGCCTAACTGCACATCGTTTCTGCAAAGTAGCGATCTTTGCGGTCACATGAAAGCACTCACCTGAAACAGCCTGAGGTGAGCCAGAGGGAGTAGACGGAGATGGAGGGAAAGCATTACTGTTGGTGTCTGAAGGATAGATCTGAACAAAGAATGTTTAACTTTTTATCAAATCAAACTACTTGTCTGTTTACACTGAAGATGCTTTAAACATAAAAATCATACAATGTATAATTATGTGGAAAAAAGTACAAGATTACTTGTGTATGAATATGTAGTTTATGATTACTTACTGATGCCAGGGCTTTCCCAACCTCATCCCCTGAACTTCCAGGTACTACACCCCGATTTGCTTGAGAAATGAAAAACAAACTTTTATCACAATCACAGTTTAGCTATGTGGCAATATTATTTTAATGTTTAATAACATAAAACAGAGAGTTCTGAAAGAAAAGTGGCACACGTTATAAGATTTACCCATAATGGTTTCCGTGCCAGCGATAGGGGGTGTGTGGTTGGGGACTCCAAAGCTGCTGGAGCCAGAGTGGAAACCAGCAGGGTGAGCCGTGTTCACCTCACTGCCATGCAGGGGGTAGTTTTGGGGAGAAAGGGGTAGGGGCTGCCGTTTCTTGGAAGAACAAACACCCAACAGTTTAATTAAAATAACCAGACAGAAGCGTTTATGATCCATTACGAGAAAAAAAGTGTCTGCTGATTTTAACAAGTCTTCGGTGTGAAGTTAGAGCTTACCAGTCTATCTTGAGGGTTGATGGCAGTGAAAGGTCCGTGCTGGCCCAGATGGGGGGAGTTGCCCAGAACAGCAGAATAACCAGGCTGAATCATCGACCCGGCAGAGCTCCAAGGATCAGAGGGCGGGTGGAGACCTTCTGTCAGGGGCCATCCAGCAGAGAAAGGGGAAGAATCAAGGGTGAGGGATAACCAGCCACAGGAGACCAGAAGACAATGAGGACTGCATATGAGACATGTCACTTTACTGTGACGACTTTATTCAGCCGTGATTCACAATTCAACAGCCATGCACCAGAGGGGCTTCAGTAACCTACAACACCTTTGGTGCATCTGGACACAATGCAGTTCTGAAACCAGTGTCCCAAATGCACTGACTTCAAAGGAAAATTCCAGGAAATTATTGTCTTTGCCAGACTAAACGTTTCAACTAAACACAAAGGACAAGGAGAGACTCTAGAGGAAAATATTTTTTCGACTGACCTTGCATGTAGAATGGTGATGGGTAGACATTTCCTGCTTTGAAGGAAGGGTAGCAAACACTGTCTCGAGTAAAATTCTCCCCTGTTGCTGGTGCAGAAACCTACACAAAAAAACGTGAAAGCCTTTAGCTCAACACTTCAAAGTTTAGTCTGAAAGAACTACGGTACAAAACATGACGCAGGGAAACTATGCAGCAGCCTAAATGAATAACCACACCACTGCAATATTTATTCAGACCTGAATAAAGATCAGTGGGTATTAAATGTTCAGTCAGTGCTCTTTTGGGACCCACATCAACCATATCAGTCAAACTTTTAAATATTAAATAGTGTAGTGCTAAGTGTAGTTAACAGATCTTTCACTTTTTTAACTGTGTGGCCAAAAAGTAGAAGTTGTTATATAAAGGATATAAAAACCTGTTCTTAGCCGTGCCCTTTTCAAAATTATTTGAGGCCAAAATCAAGAATTAAACTGTATTTGAAAAAAATCTGAACAAATTGAACCAAACTTTTCTTCAGTGGTTTGATTAAACAGGGAAACGAAGAGGAAAGAGAGGGAGCAAGGAGATGCACTCCTAATTACTAAACCATCTGCTGAATCCTGGACGGCGGCCAACTCCGCTGGCAGCTGGGATAGAGCGATGGGGGAAGGAGCAGGAGAAGAGGGAGGGCTGTTGTTTATGGTGGTGAAGGGGGAGAGAGGGAGGCTGAGTGAAATGGGGTAGGGTGGGGAAAAAATAAGGAAATATGGTGTCCAGAGACAGAGACTGAAAGGAAAAAATGAGGAGGAGGAGTAAAAAGCTTTAAACTCTTGTATGAATCCTCTTCTGGGATTTGATGAGACGACTTGGCAGAGGGAAAGAAATGTGGCCACAAAGCAAAGGCCCAGAAATAAAATGCGCTATAAATACATGTTGCAAATGAATGACTTGGTAAATAAGTGGCTTTTCTCTTTTGTTCCTTTTTGACTCTGCTGCTGCAGATGCACAGCTGTAAAACCTGGAAGGCCTGTATCGCTGCTATTATACTGCTTTCCAAGGAAAGGCTTTGGATGTCGAACTGAATGTAAAAAAGGACGCAAGACATGAAAATTTGGGGTCTCTTGGAATGAATGCCGCTGCTCAAACATGGTGCAGGGCTGAAGCTTTTCTGGATGTTAGTACTTACTGAGGAGGGCAGGCCAGGGGGCATTTTCCTGATCTTTTTCGGCTGTGACTCTGCAGGGAGTGAGACAAGAAGGAAATTATGTCAGTGTGCTCAGTCAGAATAAAAAAATAGAAAATTACAGAAAAAAATAACAACACAATAGGTAATGAGGGCTTTCAAATACGATGCTTCCTTCCTTCCAAATTCTTGCTGAACCAATAAGTGACTACTCATTAATGCCTGTTCAGAAAGTAATTAGACTGACGTTATTCAACAATTGTTCCTTTCTGAAACTAGCTGATGTCGCTTTCTCTTACAAAGAACAAGTGAGACTTTGCAGACCTCTTTTAATAAGAGAAATAAATGTGCACACAAATGTCAATTTAAACCAAACTAAAGCTATTTTTATTTTAAGCTAAATCAGTGGTGACCATTCTTACCAATGGGGTCCTGTGAGGGTCTCCTGCGCGTGTTGCTTCGCTCGTATGATGAATAAAACTGGGAACTGGACTTAACAGTAGATGGAGAAAGGTTATCTGGGCTTGACATGGGTATGTCACTGGGCATAAAACCAGGCTAAAGAAAAGGTAAAGAAAAGAGAAGTGAGACACAAGCTTGTTTGAAACTGGAAAACATGGTTTAGACTTTAATGTAATCATCGAAAATTCAGAAGTTTGAATGAAAACAACGATACAAAAATGAAAAAACTGATAACTACTTCGTGCTGATGTGAAGTTCAACTACTTTCTTGTTTTCCCCATGTTCAGAATTTAGGTGTAAAATCTTGTTGTAATAACGAATAGTAGCAGTAGTCGGGTGAAAAAACACAGACCCTGCAAATTATGCTGCAATGCAGTAAACAAGAAAACAGCTTTGTGAGCCCTGGACAAACCCACCATGCCAACTAACGGTTGGACAACAAGAAAGAGATCTACTCGGGAAGGTAGGAATTCAAAAACTCTATGATCTTAAACAATCTGCAGAAAAACAATAAACTGTTTTTTTTTTTGTTTTTGAGGCGATTATACAACAGGTGATGTTATAGAAAACTTGTCCAGACAAGTGTAGACAAACAATCAGTGATGTGGGATGAAGAGTTGAATGAAAAGTTTTGTTTCCTGGCTGTTAGGGAACTCTATTTGTACTTATTACTGAAGTTACACACCACAGATTCTTTTGTGAAGGGCTAAGTTCACACTGCAGAAACTAGATAATTTCTGCACCTACAGAAAGGAACTAGTTCATAAACTGACAACAGTAAGACGCCACTCACTGAACTGGTTTTGTGCATAAATATGTCAGAGATGAAAATCTTATTGCCTAAATTATCTGCATAATAGTTTTATAGACTTTTACAGCTGGGCGAATTGCATTGTTGTAACAACATAACCGGACTGACTCTCTCCTTCCCCATTAGCATGTTCATGGTATGCAAATACTTTGACTACAACATGGCAGGACATTCCTTCCCTCATGAGTGCAAGTTGAACAACCTTGTCCACATCTAGACTGAAATATTTAATACCACCAGTATCTGAAATAACCAATTAAGCAGACTGATTATAGCAAGATGATTTAATTTTTAATTTTAGGCACTAGGAAATTTTTTTACTGCTCACTTTTTAATTATTTCTTCCTTATTCTGGTTTTACGTAAATTGATAGGTGTGTGCCAAAAAACAACAAAATAAATAACCCAATTGCTTAAAAGACGCTCACATATCCTTGAAATTAATTTACCTGTGTTACAAATGATGGGTATGGTCCTCGTTCAGCCTTCCCTGTTAGCAAAACATACAAAATGTGTGTTTAAAAAAAGGCTTTTAGTCGTTATTAAAACAGAGTCTTGTTAATACCCCATTTTCTATCCCATCTGCTGTGTCAATATATGTTATTTATGGCTGTGGACAGCAAAAATAAAACAAATGGACCCATTATAAATGCTTCTGGGGCAATTGTGCTCAACCCCCGCCGCCTCTCCTGACAGTTAAACTGAGAAGAGCTGTGGTGCACAGTGATCCCCAGGGAGAGCCTTGTTTGTGCACGGGCACCCTTTACACCCCAACCCCTCCCACGCTGAACACAAACTGCAACACACAAACAAACCTCCTCCGCATCCTCCCCGACTGCTCTGCCCCCTTCATCCTGAATCATGCTAAACTACAACAAAAGTGTCTAACTTGTGAATGGCTGCTCTCTAAAACAAACAACTCATTGTTCTGTTCGTTCACACCGTCCACTGACGTCACATAGCTCCTCTATCGTTTAGCTGAACACAAACGTCCTTGATTCACTTTGGTTTGTACAAAAAGTCAATGTTGTGATGTCTTTTGCTTCAACAAGTTTTATTTGTTTGAGCTTTCAAACTTACCAATAACCCCTGATCCGAATACTGGGGTAGAGGCCAGGTTCTCTCGCTCACAGTAAAGGTCTTCTGCATAACCCTAGCAGGGAAAAAAAACAGCAAAAACATCACATGTATAATACACATCAGAACAGCATCATGAGTAGATTGAGATAAATATAAAAACAGATGGTATTTATTAAAAATTTTCATATTGAGAAACAGATTAGCTCTGTAGTTAAGAAATCCTATTTTTAAACTGAGGCCTTTATCTACAGTAAAATAGTTTGATCCTTTATTGACTTTGAACGAGTGAGTCATCCTATTACCTCTCAACTGGATTATGGTAACTCTGTATGCTGGTGTTAGCCAGGCTGGCCTCTCAGTCTGCCGTTAGCTTATTAGAGTACTGCAGCTCATCTTTTAACGCAGTCAAATAAGCATGAACATATCTCCCTGGTGCTGGCTTCTCTATATTGGCTCCCTGTTCATTTTAGAAATGACTTAAATGTTTTATTGATGACCTAAAAGGCTCTGAATGGGCAGGTTCTTGCATCTGGCCTTCTGTAGTTTTATGTGCCCTACAGATCCTTTAGATCTAATGACCCTTTGCTTTTAGTTCTTCCAAGGTCCAGGCTCATTTAGATCCTAAACTGTGGAAGCAGCTGCCCCTTCATATCAGACAGGCTTCAACTGGACATTTTTAAGTCCCATCTTAAAACACATTGAAAGTAAAGTCTTTAAGTGCTTTAAGCACAATTTGTTCTCACTGGCTTTTATAACATGATAGAGTTTACGTTTTTCTGAATTTATTGTTATTTTTATATGTTTTATACTTTTCTGATTGTTTTTAATGATCTCTTATGTTTGGTATTATCTTTTAAAGATGTATTGTTTTGTGTCCAGCACTTTTGGCCAGTGGCAGTTGTTTTTAATTCTGCTGCATAAACAAACTTTATTTGATAAACAGCTAGAAATTAAACCAACATGTGATTTTAAATTGCTCTTGATTGTAAGTGTAAAATAACAAAAGCCTTTTTCATTAATTTAAATAAAATGTAATTTTTGACTTCTCAACTTTTAAATAAACAAGAAGGCAATAATAAAAAAGTTTATTTTTTAACTAAACAGACTTGTGAAGAATGTGACTTTAAGATCAGTGCAGCCTCAACTTGACTGCAGTCTTTTTTAGTGATTTATTACAAATTTAGTGGACAGTGAGCGAATTGCAAAACAACTTATCATAAGATGCCTAACTAAACTAAAACTAAAGTAAAATTACTTGTATCCACAGTTGAATAAACATTTGTTGCCTTTTAAATTCTTAAATTTTACAAGTTCAGAAAAAAAATTACCTCTATTTTTTTCTTAATTTGCTCTTAATTTTGACATTTTTTAACTGACTGTATGGATGTAGAACTTGACTGCTAACATAAGTTGTTCATATTTTTTAGTAAGCATTTAGCATTAAGATTATAAAAGTCAATTTGGCTAATAAAATACAAACTATATGTAAACACAAACAAAGAGACAGACTTTAAACATAGTTTCTGGTCTTCTTTAAAAATCTCATATTATAACAAACCACCCATAAGACCCTCTGTTAAGTTCTGAGTGCCAGTGAGTGGTTTAGATATAGGCACAAGGTTCTGACCCACTCATTCATTTTCAACCCCAAAGTGGTTAACTTGTGTAATAATATTAATAATCTGAATAAGTGGACAAAAATACACCAGAGATACAACATGATTATCAGTTAAGGCATGTCATGCTGTAAACACAATTATCATACTCATACTATTGTGTAAAGTAATTTTGAATGGACTCGTTACCTCTGAGCTTGTTTTTGCATTCATGGAATGAAAGTATAAGCAGGAAATCAGGTAACAGCTTGGTGTTTAACAGTGACAATTGAAACCAAATAAGCAGTCAAATATAGAGCACATTATCATGCCACCCACTGGTTGTGTGTGAAAAAAGGGATATATATTCAGTGTTCTTTCAAGCTCAGCAAATTAAGTTTTCAATGTTAGAATAAATCATACCCTTCCCTGGTTGAAAGTTGGACTATTCTGTTCTGCTGGTCCCCAAGGACTTTCATCTAGACCTGGAGGACAAAAAAAACAACAACATTTGGTTGGACATGTTGGCCTGTTAACAAAAAGAACATTGTTATTAGAGATTTATGCCCTTGTTTGGCAAGAAGTGTCTTGCTTGAGAGATTGATGGCTTGCTTTGATACAGGTTTTTCAGGCTCCTCAAAGTAACCTCCAATGAAGAGCTTCACTTCAAAGCTCACACAGAGACAACAGAGCGACAGTGCTGTCACATAGTGTGGATATGAGCTGTAGGAAGTTTGAATAATTAACACCCAATGTGAGGCTTCCAGAATCATCCTCGACATTCTTCATTCTCCCACTCCACCCCTAGACATTTTCCATGGCAACAGTCACTCGTAGCCCATTTATTCTCACACATGGTTTACACCTTTGCCGTACCGTAGACTGAAGGTCTCAACCTCACGTGGCTGACATGTGCTATCCTCAGTTGAAGCAGAAAGATGACCATGTCATAAAGGAGCAACTTGTGAAGCAGAATTTTCTGCCTTTACCCTATTTCCCCAATTCCCCCTCATGCAGCAACACAGCATCTCTGGGGGAAATCTGAAGCTTAATTGCACTCTGATTTGCATAATTGTGCATATTAACGAGACTGAGTTCTGTGAATATTCATATTTTTGTTTTGTTAACTAATTAAAACTCTTAGGAGAGAAAAGGAGGTAAGAGGGGTAGAGACGGACTAAAATCAAGCCAGGATCAGCAGTAGAACAAAATAATGGGTCCAAACTGCTGAAAGCTGCTAGATTGCTGTGACAAGTGTGATCTACATGACACCAATGGAATAAGAGATGGAGGAGACTATTTTTATGTCTGCCTATCACTCTTTATATCAATCAAACATTTTAAAAAGAAACACATTCAAGACATCAGCACCCAACTTTTTAAAATAAGAAAAGGCTTCAAATTAGTGTTTGTAAACTAAGAACTGCATTAAATCATGTAGAAACTAAGGAAAAGAGGATTAAAATAAACTTGATACCCTCTCTAACATTTGCTGAAATGACCAAAATGCTGTGGTATCAATAGTGAATCTTTACAACTACTTCAGTTTTTATTGGTGTGTCTGAAGTTGATCAACTTTGATGCTTTAACTCCATCGTTTTACAAAATGCCTGAACATGACCAAAACTAATGTTCAGCTATATTCACTGAACGACAGACAAAGCCACTCCAAACAGACTGATAGGCGCAAGCAGGATACCGAAAAATGACTGAGACAGTTGCGTAACTCATGAACTGACAGTTAACATGTTTTAACCATAGACTTTACATAAAAATAGACTTAGCCACAAGTGGAAATAATGAGCAGAAAATGAATCTGACAGACAACTTGAGAAGTTGGCACTTTCACAGGCTAGCACACTTAACACTTGCCCTCCACTCAGTTACCGATCTCTTAATAAAAGCATAGATTTAAGAATTTACATAAACTAAACCATCCATCTATTATCTTTACCCCCTTTTACCTTTTCAACAGAAAATAAAAATACACTTCCATACAGTAATCATAAAACCCAATGAACAAAAGCAAGTCTTAATCAGCATATAATTAAAAAAAACAAAAAACATTTTAACTACCGGTATATGAATTATGAAAATTTCAAGAAAAAAATGTAAGTTACACTCATAAATAAAACAGGTCATACTACTGATGTTGCTAAATTCATAATTACAAAGGGTAAAAATTACTATAAACAGTACTATTAAAAAAGTTTCAAACAAAACCTGAAATACCAACTATATATTACTGTCACTAAAACTACGAGCAGTCTAATATTCAGACATACTGTAAAAAGTGGAAGAACATGAGGAAAAGAGTGAGTAAGGATGAAGTCTCTTGAGAACCCAAATGCACTTCTCCCAGCATGCAACACCCCTTTAAGGTTAGCTAGTCTATAATTACACAAAAAGAGATATCAGAAACAGACAGACTGCCTGAGTCACTGGCTTCATGAGCTAAACCCAGGAAGATATATTCACCAAACTTGCAGACATGGCTTGTTTTTTACAGGAATACTGCCCCAGGCCAGCTATAACTGAGCACGTTTGTCTGCACACTTTCTTCCTTCCCTTAGAAAAGTGAGTCACACAGACACAAAGCATAAAGCCAGATAAAATCTCATGAGTCAACATTGTTAATGAAATACTGAACAATATACAATAACACAGGCCTGGAGTTTTAAACCTTAGTCACTGCTGTTGTTGTGTTAACACAATATTTACATTAACTCAGTAACCTGTACATCTTATCAAGTTTTTGACAGTCTTCTACTACTAAGTAAGAATGTGTAGGATATTTAAAAATACACAGAAGGTATTCCAACTATAAACTGCATCTAATGTATCAAAAACACTTTTAGTCTCATACATTTGCTTGAAAACGTTCACCCTTAAACAAATATATGCCCTTCTTCTGCATTTATTCCTGTAAAATTCTACAAATACATTTTAGGGCTCAGTTTCTAATGACCAAACAAACAAATGAAAGTGCAGAGAAAATGTAAAAAATCAAAGAGAGCCAACAAACACAAGACCAGAGCTGAAATCTGAACAGGGGTTCCCCTCAGTCACACGTTGAATCTTCACATACGTAAACCGCACTAGAAAAAAGGTACCGATATTTGACCGCCTCTATAGAAAACCACAAAGCAGCTGCTGAAAGAGCACATTTGGACAAAATGAAAACCAGTGAAAGGCTTTTTGTGACATTGTATCTTAAAGTTAAAAGAAACAAACAAAAAAATTAACGTATCTTCACTGAAATCAAATTTGTCCAAAAGTACAACTTTAAAATTAATCAGTTTCCTGTGTGCATAAGCCTGTTGAATGTTCATTAAACACCTTTTAACACCTTCACTCTGGGCAGGAAGCTGTAAAGCTTCTTCTAGCCAGTGGATAAAACTGAGGATTTCTTCTGCTCAATCCACTGCTAATGATGCTCACTTAAGTCATGCAGGATGTTTAATTGCCTTCTATCCCTCCTACAAAATGTTGCAACAAAAGTAACAACCACTGAAAAGAGTCTCTCACAACAGCTCTTTTTGTCAAAACATGGCTTGTTGCATATTCAGGCAAAAGAAAACATAATGAAAACAAACTTGTTCAGAACAGTAAATATCATGAAAGAGGCCAAACCCCTTAATTAGGAAGACTTTAATGAGTTGGTAGGTATATATTTGCACTTTGGAAATCCCCCTCTGAGGAGAGTCTTGCTTGGGGTTATGGTCACTGAGAAGTCCCACTGAAAAACTAAATTCTCTTTAAACTTTTTCTCTGGTGGCTCTTGCACCACAGATAGGACAGCTTATGTTATGTAACAATCAGCCAAAGATGATGAGTCAAAGTCATGTCCTAATTTTTCTGTCACAAGCTTCATAGTGATTTAATTTTGAAAGACTAAGATTTGTTCATTGTTTACTACAGTATAATGTATTATGGTTATTATTATGGTACCTGTTATGGTACACGTGGATTTATTTTCTAGTGAAATAAAGGTTTAAATAAAAAAATATATATATTAGTACCAATGTTTACTCACACACACACCCACACACACTCAAGTTTTCTTTCCTAAATATTGGTTTAGGTGCAGTTACATCACAAAATCATTCCCTCGTTTTGGTAAAGTTCCCAGTATGAGGTGGGCGCTAAGACAAACTTGATGAAAAGAGTTTTATGAATAACCATCAATAGATTTGAAGCACACACACTCACAAAATGAGGGATGACTTCCACCAAATGTTCTGAGAACTATAAAAATGTTTCTGTTACAAAAACACCTCATGAGTATCCGTTAGATCGATAATGTCTATGTTTCTTGGGCGACACGGCGGCACAGGTGTTAGAGCAAAGAGAAGGTTGCAAGTTTGTTTTCTCCATTTTTTTTGTGTGGAGTTTGCACATTATCCCAGTGGACATGTGGGTTTTCTCAGGGTACTCCGGTTTCCTCCCACTGACCAAAAACATGCATGTTAGGTTAATTGGTTACTCTAAATTGTCCCTAGGTGTGAGTGTGAATGGTTGTTTGTCTCATTTGACTCCATGTAGCCCTGTGATGGACTTGGGACCTGTCCAAGGTGGACCCTGTCTCTTGTACAGAGACTGCTGGATATGGGCACCAGCTCTCTGTGGAAAGGAAAAGTGGGTACAGAAAATGGATGGATCTATAGATGTTTCTTATGTAAGTGCGCACTACCCCTATAAATGAAAAAAAAAACTAGGGATGCACAATATTATCGGCATGGCATCGGCCGATATTAGCGTTAAAGTTCAATATCAGACATCGGCCATTCCCTCAAAAAAACTCACCGATATAAAAGACTCTGTTTTTGTATGACAACCCGGTGACATGAATGCCTGCAGTGCAAGCACAATGTGATGACATCACGTGCGCCTACCTGATATCACAGCGGAGAGGAAAATTCAAAATGTCGGCGGTGTGGAAGTTTTTTTTCGTTGGTGAGGATGTCGGATTCAGACGATTTTTGGACTACATTGAGCCTCGCTAATCATCCCCAGTGGGATCTATTTTTTTGACGTAACCTTACCCAAGTTACAAGCCGCCATTTCCAACGTCATTGAGAAGCTAATAGCCGATAGCACTTGGGTGAGTTTTACCACAGACATTTGGACGTCGTGTCAGCCCCGTTAGCATGATTAGTCTTACAGCACAATGGATAGATGAAAACTGTGAACTTACAAAGGCTGTCCTTCATGCACAGGAGTGCAGAGGATTCCACACTGCAGTTAGGAACCCAGAACAAGCCTCCACAACTTAGTGAGACAGCATCGCAGGTGACTAATGCTAATAAATAATATTTAACACTTTTCATTTAATATAAGTTAAAGTGCTATGCATTTGGCTGTTACTGAATATATGTCACCAGCTCTTACAGCTGTTACACAATTTTTGTAGCAAATTAACCTAAATAAGAAGCTATGTTCTGACAAAGGAAAGTATATAAAATATCGGTATTGGTTATCGGCCAAATAAGTTTTAACATATTGGCTTATCGAATATCGGCCAAAAATCCTTTATCGTGCATCCCTAGAAAAAACAACTGGCTTTCTTTTCATTAGAGGAAACAGAGCCCCCTATGCCCCACCCAGCAACTGACCGTCTAATCTTTCATCTTTTTGTTGCATATGGTTTTTGTTTCTATTGCTCGGTGACAGACTTAATGCCCTTCTATAAATCAAAGGGCAGTAGAAAAATGTCATGAACACGCAGTGATTTACTAATGTCTGTAAAAAACAGTCTTACATATGAATATGAAACACTATAAAATAATAAAAAATAAAAAAAAACATTTAATCCTGGGTGTGCCAAGGATGTTTTATTTATACTAAGCTACATGCATAGGTTATGAGTTGTGCTTATAAACCTGATGATGAAAATGGAACTCAGATGTTGCAGAAAGTAAAAGCAGGAAAATTAGTTTTGTGGTGGAAAAGAACAAGGGTGCAAGATTGCAGGACAAGGGAATGCATGTAGGAGATTAATAGGTCATCTCCCACCAACCCCCAAGTTTTGCCTTTGTCCTTATGTGAATGAATGGAGACAGCTGGGAAGGTGAGGGAAGGGACACCTGTGTGGCCAAGATGAGGAAGTTTAGAGATGATGACATTTGATCTACATATAAGTTGGAAATATTTTCTGAAGTTTACAACAGTAAACTGTGGCGTGATTTTTATTACAAGGTAAAGAAAACAGGAACAAATTATTTTCTGTTACAATAAATAACAAAACGGAGAATGAAAATGGGGTAGTGAAAGTAGAAAAAAAGCCCAAACTGATTATTTTAAGAAATTCACTAAGGACTACAGTATAACAAAACAATACCTATGGGTGAAATAGAGAGAGAAACTTTTTTGTTCCTTACCAGAACCTCCAAACTGACTGCTTGCGAGAGTAGTCGGCCCATTCTTACCATTTGAAACTGGGGGCTCAAACATCTGAAACGAGAGTAAGAAATCTGTAAAATCACAGTGGAAGCTGACAAAATATGAAATGTCGCATTTTAATTTATGCAGAATAATCAGATGGCAACTCAAAAAATCTTATCCTCTGCAGCCAACAATTACAACAAACCTGAAGTATAAAGTTGCTGTTTTTCTTTCAATTCCTGCTCTTCTGTAGAGATAACCATAGTGACTGCAAGTGAACTCGCATGGAAGATTAGCAATTGTTTTACACCAAATGCCGTTCCTGAGTTCAAACCTGCAGCCTCAGGAAACAAAACCGCTACCAAGCTATCGCAGCCCCCTAACATGAAGTATAAAGTACTTTTAAAAACTGTAATGGCTACTGATAAACAAGTTGAAACCTTCAAATCCACGCTGACAATGAAAGCAGTGGTTCAATCTCGTCTACAATGGTTCAAGTAAACGTTTGTCAATTACCACTGGTAAGATTTACGCTTGACATGGTTGGGCAATCTTTAGAGAAATCTTACCGCAGTAAAATCCAGCAGGTCGCTGAGCTCCTTATCATTTTCTACTGCAGCCATTCTCTGCTGCTATTCGCCGGCCTTGTTCAGTCTCAGCAGCAGACTACAAGCTGAAATAAGGGGAACATGAGTTTATTCAGTCTGACTAGTAATACATTTTGTTGTCTAAAATATATAACATAATTAGTGAACAGACATTGTTATGCTTAATCTAAGGTGTAAACAAACCAACTGCCTATTTGCACATTTTCAATTCATATTTATGATAATTTTTAAAGTGAAGTACTTGTTAAAATTTACACATAATGTATATTTGTTTTATTCAGGGGGCAATTTTAAAGGTAGATTACCAGAATAGTTTACTTATATCAAAATAACAGTGAAAAAGTCAGTTCAACAGGATTGTGTGGGGGGGCAAGAATAACTAACACAGCTATTAAAGGCCAATTCATCATTTCTGTTAACCTACAAAGAGATGGTGCATCCACTTCTACCTATACAGCAATTTACAGTACAAGTTGGTTTGTAAAGCTAGGAGCCTTCAATAAACTGATTAATGAGTAGTTCTGTAACAGCTGATACAGGCCACTCTTTAAAAAAAGCTTTCAGCTATGCCTGTATATACTTACCTAATTACCAAATAAAAAATGAGGATGCACCAACAGCTGCTACAACCAACTCACTGTAAATTTTTTTCTATATATTTTAGTGTACAAATTCTTCTGACAGTTGGTAAATGTTTGCTTAAGTGAAGAAATTATTTGTCATGCATGCTCAATAACCCAGGTAGAAAAATCCAACAAGGTTAAGTCAGGTCATCAGGTCAGGTTAAGTCAGTCAGAGGTGGTGGGGGATTGGTGGCGCAGAGGTTAGACAGGGTGGGCCTGTGATAGGAGGGTCACCGGTCAACTCCCTGCACCGACAACATCAAAATGTGGGTGGAAAAGGTGAAACATCCATACCTGCCTCCACCCTCATTTGCCCCACTCTGGGCCCATGAGCAAGGCCCTTAACCCCCACCCAGCTGCTCCAAAGGTGCCTAGATGGCAGCCCACTGCTTCATATGTGTGTGCTCACATGTGCAATGGGAAAAATACAGATAATTAATGTTCCCACTGGGGATTAATAGAGTACGATAAAAGAAAAAAGAAAAAGAATCTGTCCAGATAATCTTATTTAACCTTGTTAGATTAATAAATTATTATTATACTTTAATAAATGAAAAATACATATCAAAACATGGGTGTTATGCACTGATTTCTCAAGATTAGCCATAGAAAAACTGGCATCAGTCGACCTCTAGTCACCACACGTCACATTAGGACAAATACTGACACCTGAATGGCAAAAAAGGAATATTCTTTTGTGAAATAACAACAAATGTACTAAAGGAAATTGAAAATATAAGCATGTTCTTGTGGCCAATCCTTTTATTGTTGAACAAATGTGTTGATTAGTGCACAATACATTACAAAGCCTCTTAAATGGTCTATGCTCAAAAAGGTTAATGTACTTCAGTAACTACAGCAGTTTGTGGACAATGCATATGGCCAAAGTTTTTAGGGAATTTTCTCATATAGAAGATGTTCAACTAATGCAGTAGAATGGGTTATTTTCTCCTTAGTTTCAATCTGCATGATTTCACTTTATTTTGAGTTTAAATAATTTTTGAAAGTTTTAAATGGGTTCAGTCCCTTTTAAGACATGCACAGTTGAACTGTTAATTAATTTTTGAAAATCAAAAACATTTAAAAGATGGTTTCTTTTCTCTTTTAATAGTTAATGCTGTGTAATAAAGAACAAATATTTCTCCTTGTTATACATTTTTATTTTACTATGTAACTGAATAAGCAATAGAAAACCTAATTAACAAATTACCTATAGTTTCACACACAGCTAAGGTTTATTTCAAACATCTTTTATGTAACTAATTGGTCAAACTACAAAGTCATGAAAAACACAACCAGTTCTAAAAGTAGCCCACGCTAAAGGTTCAGCCACAGGCCACGCTGCATTTGATTTAAGACCTGGACTCAAGATTGCTTCCCCCACCTGAAAAACCAATTGGCTCAAACAAATATTTGTACCAAAGGTCACAGACAGACAAGAGATGCTGAACTCAACCAAACCATGTCTGATCAGTTAACATCAAAACAAAAAACTCCTTAAAAACTACAACTTCTATAGCAGATGAACACAATGCTATGTCATTAAAACAAACAAACAAACAAAAAAACTGCAGTGAACGACACTTGTGGGGATGCAGGATGATGATGAATAAACTCGGAAATATTTCAGACTGTAGTTTAGAAAAAAAAAAGACTGATAGCATATTTCCTTTATTAGTCACAGTCAGACATGCTGACCTTGAAATGTGGGATCACACGGCACCTCAATTCAATCTGTAGTATCTGAGAAACAAAATAACTTCTCTTTAGAGGGATCAGTGCTTGCAAATTGGCAATCAAGAAGTAGTAAATAATCTGTATTTCAAAATGCTATAAAATAACAGAACTTTGAAAATATCATCAGTCATGTTTTAGGTTATTGTTATTTTGTGAGTTATCTAGTTACGCATGACTTTGAATGGAGAACACCATACAAAGTATCACAACTTCAAATAAGCATATAGTTATTTTAAAATAAACTGTTAGATGCAGTTGTAGATTTATGACTTATTGCCTCAAGTGTGTTCCAGATGTTATAGAGGTGAATCCAAGGCTACCGCCTGGAAAAACTCAGAGGATTTGCTTTGAGTCTATAATAAATAGGATGCCATATATAGACTTACTTTTGTGTGACAACTACATTGAGCCCCCACTTTAATATACATTTTTAATTGCAACAGACACACGTTTTTACGCTGTTGACGTTTATTTTCAATGTCAAGAATTTATGAAGCGCAGAAATACCAAAATAATCCAGCATTGTTCAGTCAGGTCACCCGGACAGTTTCTTTTTTTGTTGTTGTTGAGCCATTTTGTCCTTCATCCAAAGGACTTCATCAGTCCGAGGAGCCACGATAAACTTCAACGTCTCAACAAAAAAAGAAACCGTCCAGATGACCTGACTGAACTTTGTTGGATTTTGATGTTCTGAACCACTTTGGCTATGGCTACCTCAGAGGAGTCTACCAGGGGGAGGACGGGCCCAAGAAACCATCTTATCACCAGCAACCTGCTTCGTTCACTATGGGAGTGTGCTGCTTGTGGAACTAAGTTTGTTGTGGCTCCTTGGACTGATGAAATTCTTTGGATGAAGGACAAAACGTATCAACAACAAAAAAAGAAACCGTCCAGATGACCTGACTGAAATTTGTTGGATTTTTATTTTTTATTTTTATTTTTTTACCTGGATTAATGAGCATTAACTTTGAAAAGAATCTGACTAATGTCCCATTCTGAAACAGACAATATGCACTACTGTACATTAAATATAACGAATGGGAGCCTAAAAATAGAGGTACAGCAGCTAGTTGAGAAATGTACTGTCAAATAATCTGGATGTTTCTGCCTCTCGGTGAGCTGAGGTCAAAATGGGGGATGAGTGTTCAGCCCCTTTTAACAAATGGAAGTTAACTTGAGCACCCCTACCATTTTTATGGCTGGCTAATTAGAGAAAAGTTAACAGAACCGGTGGCAACTCGTCTTCATCGTTCCTGTCTGGAGTCCATCAGGAGGCAGAGTTTAAATGGCTAAAACACTGCGGGACATTTAGGCGGCTTTAACAAAAACCTGTTGCCTGCCTCTCTGTCATATACGTCGAGCAGACGCCGGTGTCGTGCCACATTCGACACCGGTGAACAAAGACTCGGGCCAACCAAAGTTCCCGTCCAGTGCTAAAAACACGAAAACTAAACACAAAAAAAGCCTCCAAACATTTTGTGACATTTTCTTCCGTGAGGCTGCGCGCGACGGTTAACGGTAACCGTGTCGAAGGCGAAAAAAAAAGGGGGATAAATGAACCTTAAACGATACAAAAGTTATGGTTTTGTATAAAATATTATAACCAGTGCGGATTACAGTGATTTATCGCCGCGACACGAGTTAGATTACTGTATTACAAGTCTGTTTATGATGCGAAAGATAGCATTAGCAGTAATGTGGAGAAGACAGCAGGGGCTAACTAGTATGCTAATGTTCGGTAACGTTATAGCCCACTGGAGTGAACAAAGACGTCTTCTCCATCAGACGAACTGCTAATGATGAGGAATAACACAAGAGGCCGAAGAGACAAAAATCCAAGACCCCGCTTTTCCCGGCTGAAGCCGCAAAACTTGACCGCTGCGCTTAAAACTTTGTTATTACCTCCCCGATAACAATGTAACTAATAGCTCCTGCTTCAATGCGTCTTTTATGAATTGGTCCACGTCACGTTTACCTGGGTTTGAATGTAGCATCCAGCGGGGATAAGTGAACCGCAGCAGACGAGAGGAAACAAAAGTTGTGGATAGGATCCTGTTCCCGTGGTCCGAACTTGATGAAGAGGAGGAAAGACTGTTTTAAACCACTCCTCCGTCGCCACGTTTTGTTGTCTTCGCTACGAAGCCGAAAACACGTGTTCCACAGAAACCATAACTTTCTGCTACTATGTTTCCTTTCAGTTCGAGAAACTGTAATTATTTCATTTTCCAAGCGGACATTTTCACAGCCTCCTCCACATCGTCGATTTGGTTCCAAAGGAATATCACTGCGCAGCTCAGCCTGCCGGAGGACAAGGACGCTCTATTAAGCGGTGTCCAATTTCAACTGAATCAACAACAAAAAAAAAACTACAGCAAACGAGGCAGATCTCAACCACCTCTGTGTAAATGTAGTGATTAACGCCAGAGATTAAAAATGTCAATGCTCTGAAGCTGCGAACGAAACACCAAATATTCCAACAATTAACGGGGAACTACGTTGACTCGCGGATGAAGACAGCAGAAGGACTAGCAGAGATGAAACGATAACGTCGGAGCGGAGGGAGAGCCAATTAGATACTAGGAATATTTGATTGACGTCTATAGCGCCCAATCATATAACAGGATTTCCCTCAAGGGCCATCTCTATTTTCTAGCGCTTTAATCTTGTTCTCGGTGACTGTTACAAAAACATAAATACACGTCCACGAGTGACGAATAAGAAAAAAGTTAGAGCTCAGGAACGCCAAACATAATAGGGTTATTAAAAAGTTTTGTCTTGTCATGTGACTGAGTTCATAGCTAAAGCCATTAATTTAACCGTGACCTTGCAATTAGACATTAAAAGTATATTTTTTAATTAAAATTAAGGACATAATTAGTTAAATGTGCATGTTTGTCAAATAGTTTAAAATACAGCAAATAATAGACAGATTTCTTATAACTTTGCTGGCACTCCCACTTGCACTTGCATTTGTCTGTTAGCAAAATATCTCATGAACTTGGAATGGATGGGTTTTCTTTAACCTCTGATTTGCTGTTGAAGTCAACCCAATTAAAGATGACAGCTGTTGCAAATGCTGCAAGAAATAAAAAAGAACAAGATTTATGTTTTGTTTAAAGGGTTCATAACTTCTACCTTTGCAGCTACAGTTTTACCAAAAATAACCACGTGGTTGTGTGTTCGAATAAAAAGCCTTCGTGTAAAGAAGCTACAGCTTCTACAGCTTGATTTTTTTTTTAGCGAGTCAAATCGGTTCTTCTCATTCTAAGCATTTAATTGTTAACCTTGCATATGACAAATAAACACAACTTGACAGGATGCCCATATTTGTTTAGAGTCTTTCTAAAGAAAACCTTGCGGGGAATAAAAACCAAAGTGACATCTGTGCTGGCCTTTACGAGAAAATGCAGCCATCCACTTTGTGGTTCACAGCATGCACACATGCACAGCATATGTTTTTGCACAAATGCAACTCAAGGACACCTGTATGTGATTACCAAAACAGGTCCATCATGTGATTGTTTTACAACTAAATTATCACCCTGATAGGAGATTTGTTTTGTATTGCTTTTGAAGAACGTGCTTTTTTCCTTGACGTATAAAAAGTACAACAGAACAGACCATCTTAGACTGAACTAAGAAAGGCTGCTCAGCTCAGGAGGTTTGCAACAGAAGCGTTCAGTCAGTGTGAGCATCAACCTCATTATGACATGTCACAGATTTAGTGACGCTCCAGTTATACACCTGGGGAAAGGTGGTGCATCTTTTCGCATGGAAATGATCATATCGCTGCTCTATGCAAAAACATCAAAGTTAGTTTGGTTTGTTGCCTTTTCAAAAGTAGGACAAACAAGGCAGTATGGAAAACAACAAGATGCATGGCAAAGTGCACGGCATAAAACATATCTATATATAGAGTGGAACTCCATTTGCCTAACCCCAAAGTGTGTACCCTCCTTTCCACCCACTCTTTCCTGGGCGCTCTCCTCTTAACACGAGCTCAGTAAGGCTTTGTAAATGGGTTACCCCCATGCAGCCACCCACGCATCAGGTAAAGTATCAAAACCTGGGGCATCCTGTTATGACTTCTGGTTTCCTGTTTCCTGTAAAAAATACAGCCCCCCTCCTCCAAGCTCTCATTCTCTCACACACAAACACACTTCACACTCCACAAGCCGTCAAATAAACAGAGCAGGCCAGGGAACAGCACCCCATTGTGTTTTAGTCAAAATATCAAAGTTCATGCTCAATAATCCACGTTAAAGAAATCCAACAAAGTTAAGTCAGGTCATCTGGACTGTTTCTTGTTGTTGTTGCTGAGACGTTTTGTCCTTCATCCGAAGGACTTCATCAGTCCAACTTAGTCCCACATGCAGCACAACCACAGTGAACCAACCAGTTTGCTGGTGATAAGATGGTTTCTGGGGCCCGCCCTCTCCCCCGTCAACTTCTCTGAGGCAGCCATAGCCAAAGTGGTTCAAAACATCAAAGTTCATGCTCGATAGAAAATCCAACAAAGTTCAGTCAGGTCATCCGGACAGTTTCTTTTTTTTTTTGCTTTTATTTTTTACCTGGATTATTGAGCATGAACTTTGATGTTTTGAACCACTTTGGCTATGGTTGCCTCAGAGGAGTCGACGAGGGAGAGGGCGGACTCCAGAAACCATCTTATCACCAGCAAACTAGTCGGTGCACTATGTGAGTGTGCTGCTTGTGGAACTATGTTTGTTGTGGCTCCTTGGACTGACAAAGTTCTTTGGATGAAGGATGAAATGTCTCAAAAAAAAAAAAAAAGAAACTAGATGATCTGACTGAACTTTGTTGGGTTTTAGTCAAAATGTTTGCACTCGTTTTTGATGACGTTTGTCTTATTTTTTTAGTCCAAAATAATTCCAACTACTATATATACTGTATATATTTGTCCAAAAAGTAAGTATGTCATGGTAAAACTTGCAGTTAATGTGGAAACTCATAAAATTAAAGTGTGTAACATTGTTAAGAAGTCACAATGACATGCACAGCAGCTGCTTCATCCCATTCCTCGCGTTTAATATGTTTTTATTTCATGTATGCATACTTAACACGCCAAAGAGGAAGACATACATGTGTCTAGGGACCATTTAAACAGCATAAACAGCACTGTGCATGTGTATGAACCGTAGATCCCTGTTTGTGTCCCCCCCCCCAAAAAATAGAAGTGACACACAGCATGCCGCCACTTCACATCCCCCACCATGATACCTGAGCATCTATCACAACAGGGGTCAGCCACATCATTCTTAATGAGCAGAAATCTTGCAGCCTTCCTGCAGAGGCTCTATCCTGCCATTCAAAAATTTCAGCGATAACAGTGTGGTTCATGTGTGTCTGTGCACAAACTACCACTCTGATAGGTTGAGGGGTTTGCTGGTGCAGAATTGCAGCACACGTTCAAGGTGGCTTTCAAAGTAGAGTCATTAAATATGCTTTAGGTGGCATTGTCACCTTTTATTTTTCATATTTATACTGCTATTCCTTCCATTCAGGACCGTAATGTTGTATCGCTTCGTCTTTAAAACGAGAAAAGCACAATAGCATCCTATTTTTTTTTTCTTTTTGTCGTTTTCAGCTCATCATCCCCTCCCCCTTTCTTGCAGATTGGAATTCATTAGCAATCAGAGCCACTGACGAACACCCAGTCTTAATTACCCTTTGATTTGCATATTTGCATATTAATGACTGCAGACTTTGCTGTTTTTCTGCTGCAGTTCTACCCCCTCCTCCCATCAACATTGCTCACACTTTTAGTCACAACACATACTGCATTACTTTGTTGTCAAGGTCTCCAGCTTTATGCCTGGAGTTGCAGAAATGCAAGAAAAGACATTTTGTTTTAGCATGCACGAGTCTTAGAAATCCTTTTACTTGGTCTACAGGTGACCTAATCAGCAGTGATATTTCCTGGTCTTGCATATATTAAATCCATTTTCATACATGTGTAGTGGTGGGGACCATTTTTGGTAACGCTTGAACCTAAAATTCTGCCATACATGCTTAATTTGCTGCCCTCTTCTGGAGAAACAAGTTGCTGTTTTCACAAAACTATACTAAAATTAAAGAGATAGAAGTATTTTACGTTTCACATATCATCTTGGTGGCCAGATAAGATGTCAACGTGGGCCACATTTGGCCCCGGGCCTTGAGTTTGACACATATGATCTAGACAATAAAATGCATATAATTTACTGATCATTAACAGAAAAAGATATGGACAGCATGTGTATGAAAAAAAATGTATTTAAAGGCATTGAAAGGAGGTACTCACACACACATACAAAAAAAACAAAAAAAAACAACAGCAACGACAACAAAGAAGCAAACAGCACCAACACAAGAAGGACGTGGAAAATCCACATCCTGTTGTTGTCCGAACAAAGTGTAAGAAAACAATGAGCGCTTACTGCAGCTGAATTTGCTCACTGAGCCATTATACAGTGTTCTTAAGAGATAAGAAACGTCTCCATACAGCAGGTTCTGTCCAGTGCTGACAAACAGCATTCTTTGAGCAATTCAGAACACACAAGTCATTTCAACATTTCTCCATACATTAAGATTTATTCTAGCACACCAAAGTGTGTGGACTCTCCATATGGTCTCTGAAGAGTGATGAAAACTCTATTTTGTACTCAAATGTGAATTTTATTCTGCAAATCACTACTTTCTCTTTTGGAGAATAAATTCATGAATCCAAACCCTCCCAGACCCTTTGTCTGCTGCGACTGAAGAAACAGCAAAGAGCCCAGAGTCGTTCATGAAACAGAATTGTGTCAAATATCTTTGGCTCTATTTACATTTAAGACCTTCAAATGAGATCTTACCACTAATTTTCTAGTTGCTTCTTTCAGCACAAACACAGTCTGATTTGTTCACTTTTACACTTTTTAAAGGTTTTATGTTTGGGAAGATGTTTCTTGTTACATTGCAGATGCTAAAGCTGGTCTACTTTAGATGGAAGTTGCAACATCTATCACCAACTAGATGAGCTAAAACACGAGCCATCAGAAAACA